GTGTAATTTTGAGGATGGTCTGTTTGTCTGTTTTACTTCCATGGTGCCTGGGACAGACTAGAGGCTCAGTTTTTTCCTCCAACAAAAAGAGTGAATGAATGTCAGTGCTGAAAAGTAGAGAGGGTAAAACGTTAAGAGAGAACAAAGATGTTCATCAAAGGAAAGGGAGGCAAAGACATATAGGAAGGCAGGGAACAAGGGCTGAGGGCAAGCGGGGCTTCCAGGGGGCATGGTCAGCAGGGATGAGCCAACAGGGGGCGGAAGAACAGCAACAATAGTAGCTCACGTTGATTGGGCGCTCTCTGTATCCCAGTTACTGTCCTAAGACTTGACGTGGATTAACTCGTTCTGCACAATAACCCTGGAAGCTCAGGGTTCCCATTTTCTCTGTTTTCCAGGTGAGGCAACAAGGCCCAGAACAGCTCTGTACTTTGCCCAGGGACCCCTGGGGAAGCCATGAGTCAAACCAGACCAGCTGGACCCAGAGCCTAGAGCCTCAACCACCGCACCGCTGCTCCCCCTTCTAGCAGGTGGACAGAGAGCAGCGTGCAGTGAGTGTGGGCACAGGGGAGAAAAGGGGCAGGCACTCTTGATGACCTCTAGCCATGGGGAGGGTACAGCAGTGCCTGTCATTCTGAATTAGGATATTTTTCACATTGGGTCACCAGGTCTGTAGAAACGCTGTGAATAAGAGCCTTCCCAACATAGCACCGACGATAATAACCTGAAGAAGATGCTTTCTTCAGGAACAGAGAGTTTTGATCACGTCCTCAGGATATTATACCGACTGCTCCGACATTGACCTTTTTTTTTTTTTTTTTACCACTATCTTCCAGTATTATTATTGTCTTAAAATAGTCCTTGAGAGAGAAGGGGAAGAAATCTGGCTGTGACAAGAAATACCGTTTTGCGTAGCAAACACACAGCTATAGAATGTACCAGCAACCGCCAGGTCAGGCAGACATTCTAGGAAAAAAAAAAAGTTTTCGCGCCTGAGTGACAGACTTGACTGATGGGTGTCTGTCATGTTGCAGAATGTTGCACACTCTCAAGGCTCACACATGCTAAGATTTTGGCAGATGTATTTGATTCCTTTAATTAAGGAACCGGGAGGATATGAATAACTATTTTGTTCCTAATTGATGCAGATCTGCAGTGCACGTGACTAAAATCTGTTCCCAGAATTTTTCGTTATGGAAGTTTTTGAATTTGACTTAAATTATATGCCTATATATTTCTCTTTTTCTTCCTTAACTTTTTTTTTGTTTGTTTTTTTTGGTGGATGGTGACTTTACCTAACCCAAAATCAAACTATCAAACTATCATGGTCAACTTCCCACACAGTGGGAATAGAATTTATCTTTTTTAAGCTTTTCACTCTGAAAGTAGGGGCCTGGCCTCCTAAAGACAATTCAGTATCCTTCAGGGACTCTGCCGATCCAGTTTGAGAGTACAGAGAAAATGATTCTCTTTTAAAAAATTTAGGTGTAGCTTTTTCATAGTGACTTCTCTCTTGAGGCTTGCTTTTGTTTTTTTGTTTTGTTTTGTTTTGTTTTGTTTTGTTTTTTTTAAATAAGCCAGGACAAATACTTGGCCACTTAAAGCACCAGGAGTGAAAATTGGACCCCAGCCTGACTTTGTATCGCTTATAAAATGCACCTGTTCCCTTTGGCCTGTCCTCAGGCCGAAGAGGCTGTAAGTACAAACAGATGGTTCAGGTTGAATCTTGCATTGAAAATATAAGGAAAAATATTTCATAAAGAAAGCTTTTTAACAAGCAGAACTCACTTGCAGATGCTTTGCAGAGGAGAAAGAAAGAAGTGTGATGTTCTCAGGAGGACCTTTCTGTTTGCCCACACCTCGCTGTAAACCACCCTGGATGCCTGGTAGGAACCCTCACAATGTTGTCACAGGGTCTGATTAGAATTTGCTTTGGAAGCCAGTGTACTGCTTTGTGGGGACATTTACCAGTGGGTAGTCTGGGCTGTGCCGGGCATGAGGCTGTGATTTTTGCTCATTGAAAATGGGACTGTTCGCCCAGGCGGATGGTGAGGCCGTCATTTTATAGCCCATTGACCAGAACTGTGGTGCAGCCAGCTGACCGTTTCCTGTTGAACACTCAACCCAGAACTTTTATTTTTTTATTTTTTTATTTTTTTTTAAAGATTTTATTTATTTATTCATGAGAGACAGAGAGAGAGAGAGAGGCAGAGGGAGAAGCAGGCTCCCAAGGAGCAGAGAGCCCGATGCGGGACTCGATCCCAGGACCCTGGGATCATGACCTGAGCCGAAGGCAGACGCTCAACCATCTGAGCCACCCAGGCGCCCCTCAACCCAGAACTTTTAAAGAGGCCCAAAAGGGAGCTGGTAAGCTGGCCCAAAGTGCAGTCATATTTTTGTGGGCTTTTTGTGCATTTTTGTTGTCAGAAGTGTAACTTCAAGGGTGTTTACATCAAGACGACTTCTGTAGCCTGTCACCCGAGTGTGAGCCATGAGTCACCGTGACTTATAATTAGGATGAAGGTAGCTAGCAATTAATTGAGCATTTTCCCTGTACCGAGAATTTTTCCAGGCACTTTATCTGCATTTCCATGTTGAATTTTTACAACTCTGCAGTATGTAAGATTATTGTCGGCATTCTACAGAGGAGGAAACACGCATAGGGAGGTGATGTAACCCGCCTAGGTCACAGAGTCCATGCTCTTTATGCTTTATGTCCCTACCGCAGATCTCTCTAAGGGACACACGAGCTCTGATACATGTAAGTCGGAAAGCTGGCATCTGCAGGTGGTGATCCCACTGCAGGATTATGACGCCGTCTGCGAGGGAGCTATTCCCAAGCCTTTCAGTATGGTTGACAGGTACAAAGACCAAGGTCCTTCTACTCTTGAGAAGAAAGCATTCAGTGTCTATTAGTGTTTCTCTTTAAGAGGTTGGGTCCTTGGCAACCATGATGCAAAGCTGGCTTGGTTTCTTACATGGCTCCATGCTGTTTTATGGAGGGGTGAGAAAGGTGCTGATAAACCTCCCTGGAGAACCAGCCAATGGGTGTGATGCCAAATCATTGGGTCAGTGGTGGGGAACTTTTCCTGACATCCTTCTCTCTTCCTTCAGTCTTGGCTCCACTTCTTCTTAGGTTAGGGAAGCTTGGTCCACATGGCTATCAGGCCACTCTCTTGGGTTAGAAAATGCCATGGCCTAAACCCCCTAAATGATAAGACTCTACTCTCAGCTCTTGCCTACCTCCTTTCTCAAAGTACTTAATTGAGTAAACTGAGAGATGAATAATTGATACTCACGTGCAGCTCCCTTTCATTTTTCCTCATTGATGGCAAAGATGCATGAGACCCAGGGATGACCATATTTCTGGAAGGCCACCTATGTCGTAGTTCACAAAACCTCCTTTTAGAGGGTATCCATCAAGTGACAGCCACAGTTATGTGAATCCTCAGGTCCAATGCCTGTTTGCTGCCTCTGTATCATAAATGTCTGGTCAGAAAGCAGTTGGGCTCCCCTCAAGCTAATAATACACCATGTATTAACTAAATTGAATTTAAATTAAAAAAAATTTTTTAAATAAATAAGCAGTTGGGGTGAGGAATAATGAGAAAAGCCTATGGAATTCTGGGTATTCAGTCTCTGGGTAAAGAATTATCCATGGACTCTGCTCCTAAAAGACATTTCCTAACTGGGGCATGGTGACAGATTATCATGTTGATTCAGAGACAACTGTTCTGCCATGCAGGCTTGTCTTAATTTCTGGGCTGTTTTGATTTCCTGAGCAGCTTTGTGTGAGAAATGCCAGGCATTATAAAACCTGTTGGGGAGGAGAATCATATACAACCCACTAGGAGAAGAACCTTGTCATAGAGGAGAACGCCCCATCTTCATACCCTCCTGAATACTCTTCCTCCATGGAAGAAGCCCCACGTACACTGGGAAGCCATGTTGAATGCCTCTTCCCTTGACCTTATCTCCCGCCATTTTCCTGTCAGAGCATCTCTCCCTCCTTTGTCTGGCTGCATCCAGCTACTCTTTTTTTTTTTTTTAAGATTTTATTTTTTATTTATTTGACAGAGAGAGACACAGCCAGAGAGGGAACACAAGCAGGGGGAGTGGGAGAGGGAGAAGCAGGCTTCCCACTGAGCAGGGAGCCTGATCCCAGGACACTGGGATCATGACCTGAGCCGAAGGCAGACGTTTAACGACTGAGCCACCCAGGCACCCCGCATCCAGCTACTCTTAATTCTTCTCTTCCCCACGTTGGCTGAGTGGATAACTAAGCATGAAGTCCTGTTGTTTGTTGAGATCCTAATTTTTAAAAACACTTCTGCTGGGAACCGAATGGCAACTGTGAAAGACCAGCTTTCCAAAGGAGACCACAGAACTCCAGCGAGGTTAAGATTTGGAGAACGGAATCCAGACAAAAACACATTCCGGCTGAGTCCTCCTGCTGAGGAGGATACGTGCATATAGAGACCATTAGTTGGGGGTGTCTGTGCTCTAATGTTTAAGAGTATGGCCACTGGAGTTGACTGCCCAGGGTTCACATCCCGACAGTGCCACTTATAAACAGTGTGATATTGAACAAATTACTTTATCTCCCTCTGTCTCAATTTGTTCATCTGTAAAATAGAAACAATAATAGTACCTAGCTCAAAGAGTTGTGAGGTTTGGATCTGAGTGACCTACTTAGAACCTGGCATGGGGGAAGTGTTCAATAAATGTTATGAGTGAAGCGTTCACGGAGGGTTAGGAAAAGCTGTGCTTGCTTTAGATTTGCATTAAAAAAACACCATCTTGGAGCCATTGTGATAATCCTTATTGAATATGACCTAATAATAACCTCAAGTGTTTTTATTTTGATTTTTCCTGTATCAGCCATCCCCTGGAAGGGACGCAGGAGCTGTGCATCTGCGTATCTAGAGCTCTGATTCTCTGCAGATGAGACTTAGGAGCTACTTCAGTTGACCGGCCTCCTGGTTCTTTTTCTTACTCAGGTGCTGGAAAGCTTCAAAATCATGGACTATAGCCTTTTGCTGGGAATCCACATCCTGGACCATTCCCTCAAAGAGAAAGAAGAGGAGAACTCACAAAATGTGCCTGATGCTAAGAGGTCTGGGATGCAGAAGGTCCTCTACTCCACAGCGATGGAGTCCATCCAGGGTCCGGGGAAATCTGGAGATGGCATCATCACAGAGAACCTGGACACGTAAGTGTGCCCACCCACCTGCCCCCCCTCCTGGTTGTGGCAGCCCACAGCGATGGGTAATTAAATGCAATCACGTTCCCTTCTCGGTGGTTCTTTGAGAACAGATTCCTACCTGGTGCTAACATGGATTGAGCAGCCTTCATTTCTGTTCATCTCTGGGTAACTAGATGCATGGCAATTCTTCGAGTTATTACCATTCTTTCTCCCATGTGGTTTCTTTTTTCAAAGGGCTCCATTTCTGAACAATGGCTGAAAATGTTTTTACGCCTTTTGGCTCCATATTCAAAACGTCTACCACAATAGGGAGAATATACTTTGAATTTCAATAAACTCGTATTTAAGCAAACACATGATAGGAATTACATTCATAATTCAGACCTTCTCATCTGCATAAGAGGATTCTCTTATTCTAGATCCTCTACCCTGGCAGATGTGGTCTCTTGCCTCAGCCAGATGTGCTCATAACTGCAGGATTCGTTTGCACATATTAAGTACATATTGACTAACAGGAACAATTGCAACCAAAGAGAATTACTGAAATGGCTGACTGTCATGTGCGTTTACCAGCTGTACAGGAGACTGAACGGAAGGCATCATTTTGGCCACTAGTGATCGCCTTCTAGGAGTCTCCCAACAATGACTAAATCACAGGCGTATTTCACTTTTATACAGGAAATCCATACATATCAAACTTTTAAAAAAATCCTTGCTTAAGACTGTTGAATCTCAGATCTGTACCTCTGAAACAAATAATGCAATATATGTTAAAAAAAAAAAAGAAGAAGAAGGTAGCGGGAGGGGAAGAATGAAGCGGGGGAAATCGGAGGGGTAGACGAACCATGAGAGATGATGGACTCTGAAAAACAAACTGAGGGTTCTAGAGGGGAGGGGGGTGGGAGGATGGGTTAGCCTGGTGGTGGGTATTGAGGAGGGCACATTCTGCATGGAGCGCTGGGTGTTATGCACAAACAATGAATCATGGAACACTACATCTAAAATGAATGATGTAATGTATGGGGATTAACATAAGAATTAAAAAATTAATTAATTAATTAAAAAAAAAGAAGAGAGGGGGAAGCTAAAAAAATAATAATAAAAAAAATCCTTGCTTATAAGTGTATCTAAATGCCCAATAATCAATTAAAGTATTCTATATCAATCAGTATAGTGAACTACTACACAGCCATTAAAAAACACATTAGCATTGAATACAAGCAAATGTATATCGTTTAGCAAATGAAAAACTCAGGTTATAAAGCATGATAATCATTGCTCTGGTGGACTAATGGATACATATACACCCACATTGACACTGGAAAGGTGTGCCAAATGCTAATAGGCGTCCTCTGCATCCTAGGAATGGGTTCTTTTAAATATTTTACATCTCACAGCAAATATGTAAAAGTGTTGCATTTTTAAAAGGCAGGATTTCAAAATACTTTAAAAATTCGTGCTCATGGTTTTAAAAATAGGAATAATTTTTTGTTTGGATTCTTCCCATCAGGCTGTCCTGAGTTGACAGCTATAGTTTCATTCTCCTGTGTGGGAAGGTCAGCATTCAGGATTCCTAGGAAGACTTTACCCGAGGAAAAAAAAAAAAGAGGGCAAGCGAGTCCAGAATTCTTAAAGTTGTCCATTTTTGTTTACAGTCTATTTATTAGAAGTGATTTTTAACTTCCCATTATAATATGTTGTAAAATATTTTCTCTCTCAACAGAATGGGAGGCATTCCAGCTAAAAGCCATAAGGGAGAAAAACTACTTTTATTTATGGGCATTATTGACATTCTGCAATCATATAGGTAAGAAATTTGGGGAAGTAGCCTTTCATTATTTCAAAATAAATCAACAAAAGGTACTGAAAATCCACCAAATGGGGATGATTTTACATTCTCCTTTTTATTTTTCTGTCTGTTTACATTTAGGTTAATGAAGAAGCTAGAACATTCCTGGAAAGCTCTTGTCTATGATGGGGTATGTGTTTATCATGTTCCTTGTTAGACTATATATTTTTCTGATTTCTCAGACTTCAGGGTGTGTCTAAGAAGTCGTGTCAACAGAGAAAATGATGTCTTATTTCTGTGTGAAATCTAAAGGACCCACTTACGAAAGGAGAGGATGCTGAGCAAAAGGGGGAGACTCTTTGCATAGGCACTGGGAAGATCAAGAGGACAGTTGAAATGAGGTTCCCACAAGGCCGAGCTGTGGAGTGGTCTGAACCTGACTTTGGTGGCCCTGGATTTGAACCCTGCATTCACCACTTTACTAACCCTGTGATCTAGACACATTGCTTGTGATTTGGCCCCTCTTGGCCTGGTTTCCCACCTGTACCAGAGACATGGTAATAGCACCTAGTACCTGCCTCATAGGGCTGATATAGGGATTAAATAAAATAATGCCTTGAGTGTTCCAACACAGTAAAGACATAAGAAGTGAAAACTTACAAGTTGTTACTGATGTATACATGACTAAGACCAACTGGCATGAGGATGTCTGTTGAACTCAAAATTACATAACAGAAGAAAACAATCAATTGTCAAGCAACAGCCTCCCTCCCCCCTCCCTCCCCCAGCCCCCCACCCCCGCTCTCTCTCAACACACATAGACACATGCACATTTCTCTCTGGATGTTAGATTTGAACTTTTTGCAGCTGACAGAACATTTACTAGCCTCAGCCTCCCTCAGTTAATAACCCGAAGTGACACTTCCAAAGAATATATCAAAGATTTGCTCGCACATTTTTTTAAAGATGTTAGCAGATGCTTTTCTTTGAAAGAAGATAAATTATAGATGTTATTATTTTCCTTTATTGGAAAGAACACCCACTTCCTCAGTTCTGTGGAAGACTGGTAATAACCTTTCAGCATGAAAGATCTGCATTTTGTCCACAGGCTAAGGAATGGGCTTCATCAGAATGCACTTGTAAACAACAGGGTCACAGGTTTCTTTCTAAGAATTAAATGTAGGCTTATTATTCAGATCAAAGATTCCTTCTATTTAAAGGCCAAGATGGTGGGTTCATTTTTTTTTCCTTCCTGACAAAAGTGGAGACTGCATAATGCCTTCACTGTAGAAGGGAGACAATAGACACATTTCCCCTCTGTTTTCTGAGACAAGGTTAATTCCCTGTTACCAGACTAAGATTTCTGATGTGAATGACCTACTTCTCAACTGGTCAGATGCTGCTAAGAGGCCCCTACCTTTGTCTAGTTAAAACACATCTTCCATTTTTGTTTTTTGTTTTTTTTAAGAGCATCTCTGTACTGATCATATATTTGTGGAACTGTAAGCAGTAAATAAGATTCATTTTTGTTTGTTTGCAAATGTACCTCATAATTAATGTTTCTTCATACCAAAGAGAAACACAGTCCAACTTCTCTTGGAAGGCAAGGTCTGAGTCTTAATCATCTTACACCTTAAGATATTTCTAAGTTACTGTGCTTGTTGTAAGTGTCCATTTCATACAGGAGCCACATGTCAAACCAGCCGGAAATTCCCACATCTACAGCATCCCTGATGGTCTAGAGGACCAGTATGCCTTGGTCAAAGAGGCTGTCTCTATATTGTGTCCTTCATAACATGTTGATTACGGAATTACCTTATGCCTCCCGTAACACCATATTTTACAGATGGAAAAAAAGAAAATGGAGGCACCAAGACCCTGCCTTCTTCCTGTATCACACAGCTTATTAAAGTTAGAACTAGTATCAGAACCAGGGCTCCAGACCTCTGGTCCAATGTGGGTTTTTAATTCCAAACCCAGAGCAGATGCTTTATACCATCTAAACTTAAATTTTCAGAGCTTTTTTTATTAGAATCCACAAACTTAGAATGAAAACAGAACATTTACTATTTCTAGAAATGTATATCTTGGATGGTAAATACGTGGTTACTGAATAAACATGGAGAATTAGCTTCTTCATCCGTCTCCTTTCCTGGATTGTAATAAAATGCCCCTTCAGTCCTGAAGACTCCTGCCAAGCACGAGAGAATTGAGTTAACAATTCAATTCAGTTCAATTCTATCTAATCAGTAGATAATTCAGCATAACAGAGGTCATCAGTCAGCCTTGTCCCCAAGGAATCTTCCCAGTGTCCGTGCACCTGATTACTACAAGACAAAACCACACTATTTTTTTTAACCTAGATGTCACTCTTATATTAGAGTTGTTTTGCTTGTTTATGTCCCCAATTTTTGTCCCCGACCGAAAGCGAAATCCTTCATTTTAGATGACACTTGAAACACTGGTTGCCTGTGTGTAAAAAAAGAATTTAAAAGCCCCACACGGCACACAGTGGAATGAGAATTAGCTGTTTAGCTTTATAAAGCAGCATCCTTTGGCTGGCTCTCTCATGCCCCTCTTCGTACTCTCTTTCATCATGAATATCTAGAATCTTTGCCATATTGTCTTATGCCTGCTTCCCCAGCCTCACTCCTGGGCACCATGGGTCACAGGGCTGCCAACATCCACGCCTTCTGGTTCAGGACATTGGCTAACAGAGAACCAATTGCATAGATCTTTCTTCTAGCTTGAAATGATCTGAGAGGTAAACCTGTGACACCTGATTTGTATTTTCAGGATACTGTTTCAGTTCATCGACCAAGCTTTTATGCTGACAGATTTCTAAAGTTTATGAATTCCAGAGTTTTCAAGAAAATTCAAGGTAAGATTCTTAGGATTTTACTCACTGACTTCACTGTGTGTATCTTTGCAAGATTTTTATTAAAAGGGTTTGGACTATCTCCGAAAGCTGTGATGAGTTAGTAATTATGGTTAAGTATTCCATTAGGTATTTACTGATGCCGTAATCATTAGAGTCCTATTTTGTGGTGGAAAAAATTAGAAACTGCCTAAATGTCCAACCTTATATTATATTGGTTAAATATATTATGGGACAATCTAATGGAATAATATGTATAATAAAAATCATATTAAAGGGGTGCCTGGGTGGCTTAGTCAGTTAAGCAGCTGTCTTCAGCTCAGGTCATGATCCCGGGGTCCTGGGATCGAGCCCCACGTCCGGCTCCCTGCTTAGTGGTGGAGAGCCTGCTTCTCCCTCTCCCTCTGCCTGCCACTGACTATTTGTGCTCTCTCTCTATCTCTCTGTCAAATAAATAAATAAATTCTTTTTTAAAAAATCATATTAAAGGTCCATTTAGGGGGCGCCTGGGTGGCTCAGTTGGTTGAGCGTCCGACTTTTGATTTCGGCTCAGGTCACGATCTCAGGATCAAGATTGAGTCCCATGACAGGCTCCGTGCTCAGCGCAGAGTCTGCTTGGGATTCTCTCCCTCTCCCTTTCCCTCCCCCTCTGCTTCTCCCCTCACTCATGTGCACACACACATGCATGTTCTCTCTCAGATAAATAAAATCTTTTTTTTTAAAGATTTTACCTATTCATTTGTTTGTCAGAGAGAGAAAGCAGCAGACAGAGGGAGAAGCAGACTCCCTGCTGAGCAAGGAGCCCGATGTGGGACTTGATCCCAGGACCCCAAGATCATGACCTGAGCTGAAGGCAGCCACTTAACTGACTGAGCAACCCAGGCATCCCTTAAATAAATATATAAAATCTTTTTTAAAAAGGTCCATTTAGTTCTTATAGACACAGATTTATTCATATATGTGTGTGTGTGTATGTATATATATATGTGTATATATATAGTTATAGTTATTGGTTTTGTTTTGTTTTGTTTTTTAAATGTTTTATTTATTTATTCATGAGAGTCAGAGAGGCAGAGGCAGAGAGAGAAGCAGGCTCCCCGCCTAGCAGGGAGCCCGATGCGGGACTCGATCCCAGGACCCTGGGATCATGACCTGAGCTGAAGGCAGACGCTTAACCATCTGAGCCACCCAGGCGCCCTAGTTATTGGTTTGCATACCTAAATGCACAACAAATTCTAATGGGATATATAAAAATGTGATACATCACATTAACAAGTAAAAGGATAAAAACCATATGATCAAAGTACAACATTCATTCATGATAAAAAAAAAAACTTTCCACAAAGCAGGTTTAGAGGGAACATACCTCAACACAATAAAGTCCATACATGAAAAACCCACAGCTAACATCATACCCAGTGGTGAAAGATTGAGGGCTTTTCCTCTAAGATCAGGAACAAGACAAGGATGTCCACTCTCAATGTAGTACTGGAAGTTGTGGCCACAACAATAAGACAGGAAAAAGAAATAAAAAGCATCCAAATTGGCAAAGAAGAAGTCAAATTTTCACTATTTGTAGATGACATTATACTATATATGTAGAAAACCCCAAAGATGCCACCAAAAAACTACTAGAACTGATGGATGAATTCATTAATGTCACAGGATACAAAATTAATATACAGAAATCCATTGCATCTCAATACAATAATAATGAAGTAGCAGAAAGAGATACTAAGAAAACCATCCCATTTACACCTATACCAAATAAAATAAAATACCTAGGCATAAACTTAACCAAGGAGGTGAAAGGCCTATACTCTGAAAACTATAAAACATTGATGAAAGAAATTGAAGATGACACAATTAAATAGTAAGGTATTCCATGCGCATGGATTAGAACCAATGTTGTTAAAATGTTCATACTACCCAAAACAGTCTACAGATTTAATGCCATCCTTTTCAAGATGCCAAAACATTTTTCACAGAGCTAGAACAGATAATCCTAAAACTTGTATGGAACCACAGAGACCCCTGAATAGCCAAAGCAGTCCTGAAAAAAAAGAACAAAGCTGGAAGGTATCACAATCTAAGATTTCAAGATATACTTCAAAGCTGTAGTAATCAAAACAGGACAGAAATAAACACATAGATCAATAGTATAGGACTAAGACCACAAGTAAACCCAAACCCACATGGTCAGTTAATCTACGACAAAGAGGACAAGAATATACAGTGAGGGAAAGACAGTCTTCAACGAATGGTGTTGGGAGACTGGATAGCAACACACAAAAGAATGAAACTGGATCACTTTCTTACACTATACACCAAAATAAACTCGAGATGGATTAAAAACTTAAATGTGAGACCTGACCTGAAATCATAAAACTCCTAGAAGAAAACATAGGCAGTAATCTCTTGGATATCACCCTATGCAAAATGTTTTTGGATGTTTCTCTGCAGGCAAGAGAAACAAAAGCAAAAATAAATTCGTGGGACTACACCAAAATAAAAAGCTTTTGCACAGCAAAAGAAACCTACTAAATGGAAGGAGATACTTGGCAAATGATATATCCGATAAGGGGTTAATATCTAAAATATATGAAGAACTAATACAACTCAACACACACACACACAAATCTGATTTAAAAATGGGCAGAGGACCTGAATAGACAATTTTTTCCCAAAGAAGGCATACAGATGGCCAGCAGACACATGAAAAGATGCTCAGTATCACCAATCATCAGGGAAATGGAAATCAAACCACAATGAGATATCCCCTCATACCAGTGAGAATGGCTAAAATTAGAAACACAAGAAACAACAAGTGTTGGCAAGGATGTGGAGAAAAAGGAACCCTCGTGCACTGTTGATGGGAATGCAAAATGGTGCAGCCACTGTGGAAAACAGTTGCTTAAAAAACTGAAAATAGAAATACTGTATGATCCAGTAATTCCACTACTGGGTATTTCCCCAAAGAAAGTGAAAACACTAATTCAGAAAAGTACATGTACCTCTGTGTTTACTGCAGCATGATTCACAACAGCCAAGACATAGAAGCAGCCAAGTGTCCATCCATAGATGAACGGATAAAAAAGATGTAGTGTATATATATGGTGGAATATTATTTGGCCATAAAAACATGGCATCTTGCCATCTGCAAAAACATGAACAGACCTGGAGGGCATTATGCCAAGTGAAATAAGACAAAGACAAACGCCATATAATTTCTCTTATATGTGGAATCTAAAAAAACAAATGAACAAACCGACTCTTAAGTACAGAGAACAAACTGCCACTTGTCAGAGAGGATGTAGGTGGGGAAATGGATGAGATCAATAATGGGGATTAAGAGGTACAAACTTTGATATATAAAATAAGTCATGGAGATGAAAAGTGCAGCATAGGGAGTTTAGTCAATAATATTATGTAGTGACAGATGGTGATTACACTTCTCGCAGTGAGCGCTGAGTAACGTATAGAATGTCTAATCGATATGTTGTATCCTGAAACTAAAATAATTGCATGTCAATTAAACTTCAATAATAAGTTTTTAATTTAAATTTTAAAAACTAAATACAAATTTTAAATTTTAAAAGCTAAATATATATATAACTATGTATAACCAAGATGCCTTATCAACTGTGATTATATTCAAGTCCTTAAGCTTAAAGGCATACTTTCCTTGTAGGTGAAAATTTCCCCTCCTCACTTCCACCCTTAAGAAAACAGTACCTAGTCTTCACATTTCTTCTTTCAAATTACTTTCTGTGTGTGTGTGTTGTTGGTTTTTTTAAATCTTTTTTATTATGTTATGTTAATCACCATACATTACATCATTAGTTTTTGATGTAGTGTTCCATGATTCATTGTTTGCATATAACACCCAGTGCTCCATGCAGTACGTGCCCTCTTTAATACCCATCACCAGGCTAACTCATCCCCCACCCCCCTCCCCTCTAGAACCCTCAGTTTGTGTTCCAGAGTCCATAGTCTCTCATGGTTCGTCTCCCCCTCTGATTTCCCCCCTTCATTTTTCCCTTCCTACTATCTTCTCTTTTTTTTTTTTTAACATATAATATATTATTTGTTTCAGAGGTACAGGTCTGTGATTCAACAGTCTTACACAATTCACAGCACTCACCATAGCACATACCCTCCCCAATGTCCATCACCCAGGCACCCCATCCCTCCCACCCCCCACCACTCCAGCGACCCTCAGTTTGTTTCCTGAGATTAAGAATTCCTAAAATTACTTTTTCAAGACTTATTACATCCTTTCATTCCACCCCAGAACTGAGTCATACGGGCAGTGTAATAATATCTGCAAAATCGTATAATTTTTTCTAGAAATATTAGTCATCATAATGTTGAAACCTCACTGAAATTCCCTACCCAGATCATGTGTCTCAAGCACTAAAACTTAGCTTCCTGAAAGGAATATAATAGTACATTAATTTGTTAAAAATCAACTGCTGTAATATATGTAAAGAAAAAAAAAAAAGAAGGTAGCAGGAGGGGAAGAATGAAGGGGGGGAAATCGGAGGGGTAGACGAACCATGAGAGACGATGGACTCTGAAAAACAAACTGAGGATTCTAGAGGGGTGGGGGGGGTGGGAGGATGGGTTAGCCTGGTGATGGGTATTGAGGAGGGCACATTCTGCATGGAGCACTGGGTGTTATGCACAAACAAGGAATCATGGAACACTACATCTAAAACTAATGATGTAATGTATGGGGATTAACATAAGAATAAAAAAATTAAAAAAAAATCAACTGCTGTAAGATTTTTAGAACAAGAATGCATTCATTCAACTAACTTTGAGCACCTGTAATGTACCTAGCACTATACCAACCATTAATTAACATAGGAAGGGTTTTTTTAGTGAATTAGTTCCTCCCTCAATAATTTTTGGGTCAGGGATTGGAACATGTAAACAGATTTATAATCTAGTGAAGCAATTGTGTTTTGTTTTGTTTTGTTTGTTTGTTTTTTAAAGATTTTATTTATTTATTTGGCAGAGAGAGACACAGCGAGAGAGGGAACACAAGCAGGGGGAGAAGCAGGCTTCCTGTGGAGCAGGGAGCCTGATGCGGGGCTCGATCCCAGGACCCTGGGATCATGACCTGGGCTGCAGACAGATGCTTAACGACTGAGCCACCCAGGCACCCCCAGTGAAGCAATTGTTAATAGAGTTTTTGCATACACTACTATAGGTACACAGAGAGAAATAAGACCAATTCTTCCACAAGAGAGCTTCAGAGAGAGAATATTTAAAGTAATTCCCTAAATATAAGTTAGCATTCATTAGGAAGAGAGGCAAAAAGGACCTCTGAGGTTAAGGAATAGCATGTGCAAAGGCCCAGGGGTAGGACTGGACATGGTAGGTTCTAGGAATGGCAGCTAGGTGAGTTGAAAAGCAGTAAAGTGTAGAGGCAGATAAATGGCAGGGTATAGGGCGGAAATGGACACAGGATACCTCTCGCCAGCCAAAAACAAATCCAGGAGTTTCTGCAGCACAAAACAAAGTGACGCGCAACCCAAACCATCTTTTGAGGTTATCCAGTCAAAAGAAATCCCTGAAGCCTTCAGTTTTTACAAGATTCAATTCTTATCCCATGAGTGAGTCTTAAATCATTCCTTTAAGGAAGATTCACCATTTAGGTGCTATGTGGTCCCTGCAGGGGTTTGGTTTTGGGTCCTCGCCGCTCCTTGTATGTGATGCGGATAATGAACAAAGAGTTGGGACTCCTGGGTGGCTCAGTTGGTTGGGCATCTGCCTTTGGCTCGGGTCATGATCCCAGGGTCCTGGGATCAAGCCCCACATCAGGCTCCTTGCTCAGCGGAGAGCTTGCTTCTCCCTCTGCCTGCCCCTCCCCCTGCTTGTGCGTGCGCTCTCTCTCTCTCTCTCTCTCTGACAAATAAATAAATAAGATCTTATTAAAAGAAAACAAAGAGCTGTTTCTTTTCATAGCTCTTGGCCTTTTCTCCTCGGTGAACTACACATACACACAGTTCTCTGAGTGTTTCCTCTAGTTCACGTTTCCTTGCTGCTGACAACTTTCTTCTGACCTCAGCTGTTTCTCAGTTTAGAGAATCTGCATTGACCTAAGATCTGTGTAGTACTCAAATGTTTCGGTCTCAGGGCAACTTTATACTCTTTCCAATGATTGAGGACCTCAAAAGGCTTTCACACACATGGGCTATATCTGGCAATATTTACCATACTGAATTTAAAATTGAGGAAAATGCCAAATATTCATTAATTCTCACAAAGTAATAATTCCTAAAAAAAATTGCATGTTAAAATAAGCCATTTTCAACAAAAAGGTAAAAATCATTTTCACATAAAAAATAATTACGAAAATAATATTTTCTAAAATAAGTTTGTTAAGAAAAGTGGCATCATTTTTCATTTTTTCCAATCCCTGATTCTGGTTTGTAGACAACATCTAGATTCTCACATCTGCTTCTGAATTCAGTCTGTGGCGAGAGGGTCATGTGGCATGTAAAAAACTCGTGAGAAAGGCAATTTATGTCTTAATATTATTATGAAAATAGTTTTTTTACAGTTATTTTATTTATTTGTTTTTTTAAGTAAACTCTATCCCCAACTTGGGGCTTGAACTCACAACACCAAGATCGAGAGTCACACGCTGTGCAGGTCGGAGCCAGCTAGGCATCCTTGAAAATAGGCTTAGGATTACAGACCTTCTAAAAGGGTCTCGGGGCACCTGGGTGGCTCAGTCGGTTAAGCGTCTGCCTTTGGCTCAGGTCATGATCCCAGGGGTCCTAAGATCGAGTCCCACATTGGGCTCCCTGCTCAGCAGAAAGCCTGCTTCTCCCTCTCCCACTCCCCCTGCTTGTGTTCCCTCTCTCGCTGTCTCTCTCTCTGTCAAATAAGTAAATAAAATCTTTAAAAATAAATAAATAGATAGATAGATAAATAAATAAAAGGGTCTCGGGGGCCTCTAGTAGTCCCTGAACCACATTTGAGATCCTCTGATTAAAAGTTTTAAAATACTGTGTTGGAAGACAAGAGTTGAGGGTTTATAAGAGTTAGCAGACAGAACGTAAAAGCAGAAGCCCGTGTGTACAATCCCTTCACGCCTGGAAAGCAGGTGTTGCTGCTGTTTTGATAGGATGAGGTGTTAAGGAAAATGTGACTTATTTGGTCCACTTACTTTCCATTAAAATCCATTTTGATCAGTTTTTAAACATTCAAAATGCCCTCCCCTCAAAAAAAAAAAAAAAAAAAAAAAACCCTAACTCTGGTTTTGTCTTTTCTCCCCTTCACATCAGCCAGGAAATAGAATCCTCTAGAGAGAGGAAATGAACACCAGTTTAGACAACTTCAGACAGAAGACAGACACCTGGGGTTTCATGCTTCTAGCTCTGTGACCTTGAGCAGGTCGCAACTTTTCCAGTCTCAGTTGCTGGACCTATAAAAGGGCCCGCCTCCCTCGGACAACTGCATGGGTAGTTTGAGATACGGTGTGTGAATGTCGGCCTCCATGCCCTAAAGCCCTCTCCAGGAGATATTTATGATGGTGATTATATTATGGTTCTAGGACTGCTCACAGGACCCATAAACTTCCCCTTCTCTTTAAGTGGAGAGAATGCTCACTATTCTTTCCCCATTTGTGTGTCCCAAAGTCCTTGTCCAGTTAAGTTCTTGCAGGCTGCCTATGGGCAGGCCCCAGATGAGCATCGTAATCTAAGCTCTGGAGAGCTTCCCAAGGCCAGACACAATCACTCTAATGCATCGGCTATCAGGTTACCCCTCTGTGCAAAGCTCCAAAGGCAGAGGGGAGGCTCTGCCAAAAACCAATTCAGGGAAAGCATAAACAAGCCTCAAGTTCCCTTGCTCCCTCTCCTCCAAGGAAATTCTCTAACGGTGTTAAGCCAAGAAGAATTATTGCCACAAAGACTGCATAGAAGTGGGGATGGTGTGGCTGCAGCCAAAGCCGCTCCCACTGACGTATCAGAGGTGAAGGGACAGCCTTCAGCGAGCAGGATGGATGGTGAAGTCCATTTGCCTTGGTTCAGGTTCCCAGCACACTCCTGAAGTTGGAGAATGCTGTTTGAACAAAGGTCGGGAGTGAATGATAACATCTGACGTAGCCGTGACCTAGAAAAGACCCAGAGGGCAGGAAATTTCAGTGGAAAGTCACTTAAAAGCAAAAAGCAACCAGAAGTAACTTGGCTAAATTAGGCTTCATGAGTATAAGATTAAACATTGGCATGTTTAGAAATTCCCAGTCCCCAAGTTAATAAAACCAGGGTCATGAGAATTCTCCTCGCTTTACCATCTGCATTTACCAACCCACCCAACCTCCTCCCAGCGCTAGAAAAACATTGCTTGGAGGCAGAAAAAGTATCCTTTAGCAACAGAACGTTTGAATCTCACCTCAGGTAAGACTTGACTTCAAAATCTAGAGACGTATTCCAGTTCGCATGTATTCTAGGATCTTCTCATTGAGGTCAAGTCATTGTAGACAAATACAATTGCCAAAACCCAAACAGTTTCATCTCCCTTTCCTCGTGTATATAAAACAAAGTGTCTTGCATTCTGCTCAGATAATGAGTAATACGTTAATAAGTAAAATCTTAATTTAATGAAAAACAAAAAGTTAATGTGGTTTTACCGTATCTTTGTCTCTCCTTTTTCCTTCCTGTCCAGCCTTGAAGGCCTCACCTTCTAAAAAACGTTGCAACTCCATCGCCGCCCTGAAGGCCACCTCGCAAGAGGTCGTGTCCTCAATTAGCCAGGAGTGGAAGGACGAGAAGCGGGACTTGCTGACCGAGGGGCAGAGTTTCAGCAGCCTTGACGAAGAAGGTAAAGACATGTCACTTAAGAAAAAAAAAAAGAAAAGAAAAAGAAGTCCTTCTGATTTTGCTTATATAGGTGATGTAGATTCACAGTAGAACAATTAGAATATACCTAAGAAACAAGGTGATGGGGGGTGCCTGGCTGGCCGTCAGTAGAACGTGCCACTCTTGATCTCAGGATGGTGAGTTCAAGCCCCACATTGGGCATAGAACTTACTTAAAAGAAAAAAATAGAAAAAGAAAGAAACCAAGTCTATTAACTCATTTTCAAAAGGATATTCACAGTATGACAGTTACTACAAATTTTTAAAACACATAAATAATATGTGGTTGATAGGGAAAAAAAAAAGTTGGAATATGTACTAAGATACTTAGAAATAAAGATCCATAACCCCACTACTGGGAAGTAACACATCTGAACATTTTTGTGTTTTTACAATTGGACCTTGTTCTGTGTATGCATAGAGTGTGTGTGTGTGTGTGTGTGTGTATGTTTCAAACACACATATGCATTATATACATATGTATACACACATCCCTATACATCCATATAGACACAATGTAACAATGAATTATCTATTTACTTAGGTCTTTAATGAATTGAATAAAAATTTTCTAACTTTCCTCCTGCTTGTCCTATACACCTCCCTTTTGTTAGATTTATTCTCAAATGCATATAGAGATAGAGACATAGACATGTATTTTCGGTCTTTTCAAATAGTGTCTTTTTAAGATTTAGGTTTTCTTCTACTGTTTCTCGTAGCCCTCCCTTCTTTTTCCTTCCTTCCTTACTCACCTGCCAGCTAGGACTTCTAGAACAATGATGAATGCAAGTGGTGATTGCGGGCAGCCTTGCCTTGTCCTGATTTTAAAGGGAATGCCTCTTGTGTTTCACTGTTGAGAAAGAAGTTGGCTGTATTTGATACCCGTAATCGGGTCAAGGAAGTACCTTTTTATTCCTGGTTTGCTAAAAGTTTTTATCAGGAGTGAGTGTTGAATTTTATCACATACTTTTCCTTGTTTGTTGAGTTGATCATGAAGGTTTTTTCTCTTCTAATCCTAAAAGAGGAAGTGACAGTTTAGACTTTTTATTTTTTATCAGTATATTCTTTGGGGAATCCCAACATTTCCTGAGAATTTCTTCTCCTTTGATTAGATTCTTCTCGGGCTTTCCTTTCCCCGAGAGCGGTTAGAATAGGGTGTTATTCCTATGCCCATCTGCAGCACCTACCCACCTGTGTCACGTGGGGTTTCCTCCTTTCTGATCTTCCTCGAAAACAGCTGATACCCAGATTTAGTGCTTTTGGCAAAGGAGTTCATGAATCGCCCTTGCTCCTCTCTCCGGCTGCAATTTCTAGCAGTCAGTGACAACCCTTTACCTAAGCCTCCCTGCCCTGGCATCTCCCCTACCACACGGCCTGGTCTTCTTAGGACACACATAAAACCGCAAGGTGTCTGCAGTCTGGGAAATAGGATTAACTGATTTTTAAACTGTATCAGTTAAACTTTCAACTAGTATGCTCCATATGACGTCTGAAGTTAGAGCAGTGAGTCCAATTGTTAATCTGGGGGGAGAGAGGGGGGCATAATATATACACTACATAACATCCTGGAAGTCTGGAGACCTGGGAAGTCCGGCACATATTGTGCTTTTTTTTTTTTTGCAGATGACTTCTTGCACCCCTTGCTTCATTTTTAAAGGGACTTCACCCAAAAAGGCCTCTGAAAGTCAAAGAAAAACGTACTGAGCATATTCTTTGAAAATGTTAACATTCTATTATAAAAAAGAGTTTAACTGGACAATTCTCTTTTTTTTTTTTTTTAAGATTTATTTATTTGAGAGAGAGAGAATGAGAGACAGAGAGCATGAGAGGGAGGAGGGTCAGAGGGAGAAGCAGACTCCCTGCCGAGTAGGGAGCCCGATGCGGGACTCGATCCCGGGACTCCAGGATCACGACCTGAGCCGAAGGCAGTCGCTTAACCAACTGAGCCACCCAGGCGCCCTCCCATTGAGTTTTTAATCCTCTCTTCTATGCCACTGTCAGTGTTCTGGGGTGTATTCGTTTTCTCTTGCCATGTAGCAAATTACCCAGAACGTCAGCAGCTTAGTAGAACCTCCATTATTAGCCCACCATGTGTAAGTCAGAAATCTGGCCAGGCTCACCTTGGCTCGCTGGACACAGCTTATCAGGGTCTCAAAAACTGGGATGAAGGTGTCAGCTGGGCTGCGTTCTCATCTGAAGGTGCTGGAGAAGAATCCTCCTCCAGGGTCATCACGTGCTTGGCAGAATTCACTTCCTTACAGTTGTAGGGTGGAGGTCCCCATGCCTTCCTGTCTGATAGCCATGGGCCATGTCCAGCCACCCAAGACCATCCACATTCCTTACCAGGCAGCCCCCTCCATCTTCAAACCAAGACTTCCTTCCAAGTCAGTCCTTCTCTCACTTCATATCTCTGATCTCCAGACACAGATTTAAAAGGCTCAAGTGATTAGGCCAGGCCCACCTGGATAGTATTCTCTTTGACTAACTCGAAGTTAATGGATTAGTAACCTTAATTACATCTGCAGAATTCCTTTTGCCGTGTAAGTTGCGGTAATCACAGGAGTCCTCTCATGCTTACTGGTCCCACCTACACTCAAAGGGAGATGATGATACAAGCATGCAGGTCACTGGGGATCATCCTAGAATTTTGTCTACCATGTTAGTTTTTTAAAAACTGAAGGATATGAGAGCTTGAGGAAACAGCTCTCTGCTTCAGAGAGCTGCTCCTTAAAGATTGGGGCTCAGCTCCCCACTGCCTGGTCCAAGTCCCTGGACAGATCATGTCTCTCTGTATTGTATCACTCACGTAGTCTCTGGCTCATGAAGTCAAGACCAGAGGCTGCATGAGCCTTTCTGTCCAGCCCCATCTGCCTTATGTTGAGTAGCAATTCACTAAGCTCTAATGGGAGGTTATTTTTCAGATGCGCTTTTCAATATTATTGAGTATGTCAGTATTTTTCTCTGTACTTAGTAAGAAGGTGGGACCAAGTATATTAAAGATCACTAGCCAGCTATCGTATTACATTGAAGCCTTTCTAATTTTTGCATGTAGAGCCCTTTGGTTACTTGTGTTTTTATACTATTACCATCTGTTATTCATCATGGCCGTTCTTTATTTTGACCTGAATCAGAGCTGCACTGTCTCACACATTTAAAGTGTGTCCAGTCTCCCAGCCGAGAGTCCAGCCCTTCTGTGCCTACCCCTTTTCTCTCCGTGCCTCGCTCCACCCCTCCATCTACACCTCTTCAAACCCCAAATCCAAAATCTCGCACTCATGCGATAGTGCCTATTAGGACCGTTTTCCATTCATACGCTTCCTAAAAATGCATAATTTTGAGCCCATTGTTGCCTGAATCCACAGTCCAGCATGGTGACTTCAGTTAACAAGTGTCTTGTATGTTTGAAAGTTGCTAAGAGAGTAGATCCTAAAAATTCTCATTGCAAGAAAAAAGATATAATTATAGTGGTAATGGATGTTCACTAGATTGTGATGATCATCTCACAATAAATATGTATATCAAGTTATCACATTGGACACCTAGAATTAATACAATGTTCTATGTCAATTATATCTTCATAAAAATTTAAAAATATCTCCCTAGGTTTAATAAAACTCAGTGTGAAAAGTTGAAGGACAGGACTCCTGCATAACTATTATGTCCACAGTGTTCTATCACTGGGGACTTGCATGTGTATTTTTTAAGCAGCTCTGTTCTTGCTGACTGGATCTGTCATTAAAACACTATCTCTAACAGGCTGGGTAATAGGTGCCCCAGGCACCTATATTTTAAAAAGGAAGTAGGAGTTTTCTCATTTTTAAAAAGGCAGCCTCGGCTCTTAAAATATGAGGCCAAGAAGAGCTGTGGATGATGTTCAAAGATGTGTATGGGCACAAAGGAGTTTAAGAGATAGCTGGCTTGGGTGGGATGGCTCGGTCAGTTAAGCGTCTGCCTTCGGCTCAGGTCGCGATCCCAGGGTCCTTAGATCAAGCCCCACATCAGGCTCCCTGCTCAGCGGGGAGTCTGCTTCTCCCTTTGCCTCTGCCCTTCCCCCTGCTCATGCTCACTCTCTCTCTCACATAAATAAAATCTTTAAAAAGAGAGAGAGGTAGCTGGCTGTTAGTCTGGGAAGCCTTTGTCTCCGGGCTGTTAAAAAGTCTGAGTACTTAGATCTAAATTGAGAATGATAGATACGTGCATATCCTAGGGAGGGGAAGCAGGTGCCCTGTGTGTTTCTACATTTGCCAGTCATCCTGTTAATCTCTGTCGAATTATCTCCTAAACTCCTCCAAGCTTTTTATGTCATCTTATGAAACAGTAAATCACTTTATTAGGTTTTTAAAAGAACATCCATAATGTCTTTTTCATAAGCCATTTTGTAAATTAATGCCATTTCCTTTCCGGTTAACCTGTTTGCAAGAAGCTATTTTACATGTCTGCGGCAGTTCGGAAGAGCGAAGTGAATTCATAATTTAATGTGCAATCTGATATGTATGCTTTGGAGTCGATTTAAATTATTATAGATAATAAGGCAGCATTTCTTACGGAGATTCATGAGTGTGTGTTGTGCTTTTGTTATGCAGCACTGGGATCCCGACACAGGCCAGACCTGGTGCCTAGCACCCCGTCACTGTTTGAAGCTGCTTCCTTGGCAACCACTATTTCATCGTCTTCCTTATATGTCGATGAACATTGTCCACACGATAGGACTGCACTGTATTCAAACAGGTGAGACTTAGCGCGATCATATTACCAATCCGGCTATTACCACATCTGCATCACAGGTGGACAGGTATCTCTGAATTGAGAACATGCTGTCCCTGGCACCCAGGATGTGACTGTCACCTGCCCTGTAAGTAAGAGAAAGAGAGAACTTGCTTGATTTTTTACTAGGGCAAGAAGCACATCTGGGGGAAAACCTTCCTTATTTTTCTCCACGGTTAATCATTATGTCCTATTGAAATTATGTACTTGGTCCTAGGGAAGAAGACCAATCTTTCATCATTTTTCTTTTAATAATTTCTTATGAATGGCTTTTTAAAGCAGGTACTCCTGGTTAATATTGCCAGTAGCCACAAAGATATTTGCATATTCTCTTTTTGTTTGAGTGACCTGAGGGACTATGATAGGCGGAATGATGGCCCCCCCAAAGTTGTCCCTGTCCTAAACCCCAGAACCTATAAATGTGTCACCTTATATAGCAAAAAGGACTTCGCGAACATGATTAAAGATTCTGAGATGGAAAGAGTGTCTTGAATTATTCAGGTTGTCCCAATATATAAAATACATATATATATATATATATATATATATATATATATATATAGTTTCATTAACACTCCAGTGGTAGACAACTGCGTGCTTATGTTTCTTCGTAGATCACTGGGTCGCACAAAATTCAAAACCCATGAGGAAGCTAAGAGTGTTTACATTAAATGTTTCCTTCCTAAAAATCCTTAACTGTATGCCAGTCTGTCCTCAAGCAGTAAAGTCTGATTATGCACAGGGTCTTTGTCAGAGGAAGACAGGAAGATTAGAGTCAGAGAAAGAGACATGATTCCAGAAGTGGAGGGCAGAGAGAGACATTGGAAGGTGCCACACGGCTGGCTTTGAAGGTGGAGGACGGGGCCTTGAGCCTGGGAATGCAGGCAGCCTCTAGAAGCCCGAAAAGGCAAGAAAACAGTTGCTCCCTTGGAGCCTTCACAGAGGAAGACAGCTCTTCCACACCTTGAACTTCAGGACTTCTGACCCCCAGCGCGGCAAGATAATAAGTTGTGTCATTTTCAGCCACGAAGTTTATGATAATTTCTTACAGCAGAGATGGGGGACTCAAACATGTAATGATTGAACGTTTGAGTGTTGGGCGGGCTACTGTAATTTCTTAAATAGAGAGTGGATTAGTTATTAGATACGTTTGCTTTTTGAACAAAACATTGTCAGACATCGATTCTAATAATAGAAGATGATATATTTGCAAAGAGATCACAGTGTTGTCTGTGGGCTTAGCTGTTTGATTTTCTCTCTTTTCATATATGCAATTTTGTAACTAGCTCCAATCACTGGGCAGGGACTATTATGTATGTTCTTAATAATTATCTGTTAAATGGAAAAACTAGCTCTTGTTAAAAATCTAGTTCTTGAGAATCAAGGTCATATTTGTGCAGGTAAACTGCTTCTTACACTGTACATCGTTTTCCACACCCAGGGATGCAGCGTGGCTCACTTCCAGGAGGACTCAGTATGGTAGACTCATTTGTAACATACGCATGCTTGTAGATTCTAGCTTGGTCTTTGGGCAAGTTAAGGTTTGGTCACTGGAGCTTCTGTAGAAATTGTTTTCTGTTGCCATTCTCTTCCCTCTCCGCTACATACAGCTTGGGAGGTGGGTAAGCAGGTGAGGCAGCCAGCCTTGGTGTGGAGAAGTGAAACAGATAACAAGGTGAGCCATCAACCTTAGTGTGGCTTCCGTTTAGATAGCTCTGCTGGAAGAGCTAACAAATAAGGCTCCTTTATAAATTATTCAACTCATCGGAACTATAAAAGAAATTTGGCTAGCTTCCTTGGGTTAGAAGAATTGAAAGTGACCTATACCTTACGCTAATGTGTACCTTGAATGTTCAAATTTATTACATAAATTAGTCCAGCAACAGCTTTCCTATTTCTGGGGTAGAGCTAAACACCATTGTTTTGCTCTCAAATATAAATAGCAGCTCAAAAAAATGGCTGGAAAGTCATAGGAAGCTCCTTGCAAGGTCAAAAACAATTCTGTGTGAGGCCAGGGTGATTTCTTACTATTTGCTACTGTTCTCATTATCAGGGGCATGTAATTGGATATGCTTGCTACTAAATTATTTACTAGAATTTTCAACACAAGAATAAAAGGGTTTTTGGCTTGGTTTGGTTTTTTTAATGGCAGCGGTTGTGGGTCAGTATCTAGACTCTTGGCCAGAAGTATTCAATTCTTGGGTATTCATAAGGTTCCCCCACCATCCAGAACTGCCTCCTTCCTGGCCATTGTGGAAGCTACCTCTGTACGCTCCCAGGCTGTGGTATAATTCTTGTTACTTTGATTTATGATGATATGGTTCCGTATACATTTGGATGGAAAAAATATTATTAGTGTTATCAGTTGTATTTTTTTCTTTTCTTTTTTTGAAGTGACTTCTTTGAGATAAATTTTTGGCATTGTATCTCCCAAGTTGTAATTTGAAGATTTTACTTATTTATTTTTGCGCGCATGCACGCAAGTGCAAGAGAGGAAGAGAGAGTGCGTGCGCACGAGTGGGGGAGAGGGGCAGAGGGAGAAGGAGACTCCTCGCTGAGCAGGGAGCCCGATGCAGGACTCGATCCCAGGACCCTGGGATCATGACCTGAGCCAAATGCAGACGCTTAACTGACTGAGCCACCCAGGTTTCCCCTCCAAGTGGTAATCTGGTATGTTATATTTAACTGCCAGTCCGGGTTCGGTTATAAGAACAAGAAACCACCCTGTCTTAAGCAGAAAGGGATTTGATACGAGGAATTAGGTGCTTACAAAGTCCATGAAAAGGCTCTGGGCTGAACATCAGGAAATCACTCCTGGATAACACCATCGAACTGGCCCACCAACAGCCCTGTAGCCTTGGCAGCCATCAAGCAGGAGCCCTGCCAATGGAATGCAAGCCAGCGAAAAGCATTTTGGTGGCCCCAGAACGTTTTTTAAAATAAGCTATCATTTAGGGCGCCTGGGTGGCTCAGTTGGTTAAGCGACTGCCTTCGGCTCAGGTCACGATCCTGGAGTCCCGGTCCCGGGATCGAGTCCCGCATCGGGCTCCCTGCTCGGCAGGGAGTCTGCTTCTCCCTCTGACCCTCCCCCCTCTCATGCTATCTCTATGTCATTCTCTCTCTCAAATAAATAAATAAAATCTTAAAAAATAAAATAAAATAAAATAAAATAAGCTATCATTTAAAAATCAAGCAATCTCACTAAAAAATACCCAGGCCCTTTTGAAAAATCATTAGTTTGGTCCCCACTTGGCTCTCTTGCCTCTCAGCATTGACCAGCTGGAGGGGAGAAGCAGGGACCCTCCATGGTCCCCATCACCCTCTGCTTTGTTCATCGGTGATGTTGCCATCGTGCTCCCCTGGGCATTTCTGATTTTAGACTGGAGATAGAAGAGAAGCCAAAGCCATGCCTCCCATCTTAACCCCTGCCTTAGGGCAATCATAAGGAAAGGGGCAAAAAAGGCACAGAGGTGCTCAAGAGAAATTAATAGCATGTGAACTCCTGGGAATCAGTATCCTTACCCACCCCCACCATGCCCCACCCTAATTATTCAACAGGGAAACCTTACCCGCAAACTGAAAAGAAATTGTCATAATTTCTAGCGTTTTTTTTTTCCTTTGGAGTCCTCCTAGGCCTACATGGAGTCTCTTGAGGTGATAAACATGATTCTAAGTCTCTTCTGGCCTACTAAGTTTTGAAACCTAATCCAAATAGCGTGGAAAGAAAATGAGTTGAATAGTGATGTTATAATTCACATGTTAGGTTTTTCTATCTCGGAGTCATTTTTCTGTGAAGGCAAGGTGGCCTGTTTTTTCCATTTCAACACTAAGCTCTACATATCTGCCCTTATATAAGCTGTAAATACTTCAAGTAGCAGTCATCATTCTGTCAGTCTTTTTAAAATCCTGGGGCGCCTGGGTGGCTCAGTCGTTAAGCGTCTGCCTTCAGCTCAGGTCGTGATCTCAGGGTCCTGGGATCGAGCCCCCCATCGGGCTCCCTGCTCGGCGGGAAGCCTGGCTTCTCCCTCTCCCACTCCCCCTGCTTGTTCCCTCTCTCGCTGTGTTTCTCTCTGTCAAATAAATAAATAAAATCTTAAAAAAATAAATTAAATAAAATCCTTAACTCTGAAAGGTGTCGATTAGTGCCAGGCTGTCTCCACACCTAAATTATATATTGTGGTGGGAAAACTGCTGTTTCTTCAAATTATTCCCATTTTTAAGGGATTTTTTTCTTTGTAACTACAAAAACTGATAGCATCTGTTCTCTTTTTAAGATTTTATTTATTTATTTGACACAGAGAGAGCGCACAAGCAGGGGGAGTGGGAGAGGGAGAAGCAGGCTTCCCGCCGAGCAGGGAGCCCAATGTGGGGCTCGATCCCAGGACCCTGAGATCATGACCTGAGCCGAAAGCAGATGCTTAACAGACTGAGCCACCCAGGTGCCCTGTTCTTTTTTTTTTTTTAAGTATACTCCAAAAATTGAGTAGGAAGCAAAGAAAAATAGTATTTTTAAAGTATATATATAGGGGCGCCTGGGTGGCTCAGTCAGTTGGGCGTCAGTCTTTGGCTTGGGTCATGGTCCCAGGGTCCTGGGATAGGGCCCCACATCGGACTCACTGCTTGGTGGGAAGCCTGCTTTTCCCTCTTCCTCTGCTGCTCCCCCTGCTTGTGGTCACTCTCTCTCTGTCAAATAAATAAAATATTTTTTAACAAAATAAATAAAGTATACATTTAACCCGGTGATCAGGAGTACCTGTTTTCACGTTCCACCGTACAGTTAGGGCTTAGAGCATACAGTTCATAGAAATGGAGGCAAAGCGTTGTGGGTACATCCTTCCTGGTAAAATGCTGGGATTTAAATTCTGAGTTTTTGATCCTTGAATTCTCCTTTCCTAGTAAGAGCTCTGTTCTTTCAGAGGAGGTATAAGTTGAGCACTAAGAAATGCAGAGGCAAACGTGTTTTATCTCGAAGTTAAGAACAGTTTAATGTGGAAATTCACTACATGCATGAGTATGAATTCTTTTCATGATTTCCTGCACCGTCGGGAGCCCAGGTGATGCTCTGCTCATGTGTAAGTATCGGAAACCCTGCTGCATCCCGACATACACTTCCGCATCAAGCACACCTCTAGCTTCGTGGTGGCCCTGGCCGGCCTCATGGTTCACTACTGACTCTTGCCAACATCTGGCTCCGCCGGGACGTGTGTGGACTATTAAAAGAAGAGGAGATGCCGTGGGTCATTTGCACATAGAGGGCCAGCTGGCAAAGGCTTTAATGAGTGATGAGTCCAGATCATGGATCTCAGAGGCTGACCCCAGGAATCTGACTGCAATTCTGTGCACTTTTCTTCCGGCTCCTAGAGTCTCATAAACCCAGGAGAGTGCTGGAGCCCAGGTGGAGCGACCCGTTGTCTTACAGACTTATCGAGAAGACAAGGAAAGAGAAACGCAGAGACCGGTGCATTCTATGGCACGCTGCGCTAAGGTCACCCAGTGTGCTAGTAGGGTGAACCTGGAACACAAGTGTCTGGGGCCCAAGCCGCACATTCTCTCCGCCGTACCACCCTTTCACTAACAGCCTCCTGTCCTTCCGCTCTTGCCCTTGCCGTGTATGCTATGCATGGAAGGTTGATGCTCCCGGTTTTCCTAACATGACTTCTGCCTCCATAACTGAGTGACTTTTTGCTGCTTAATAACTAAAGTATTTCTGCTAGACAAAGCAGTGGGCATATATGAATGCCTGTCTGTGACATTTGTTCTAGAAGTCATTGGCTAAGTTTGCTTATTTAGAACATCATGGTGGGGCACCTGGGTGGCTCAGTCGGTTGAGCATCCAACTCTTGGTTTCAGCTCAGGTCATGATCTCAGGGTCGTGGGATTGAGCCCCGCATCAGGCTCTGTGCTCTGCATGGAATTGGCTTGAGATTCTCTCTCCCTTCACCCTCTGCCCCTCCCCTCCTTCTCAAATAAATAAATAAATCTTTTTTTAAAAAAAAGAACATCATGGCTATGGGAACTTTTCTGTCATAGCAGTAGTCATACTTCAAACCAACAATAATCATCTGATAATAATACTAACTATAATAATAGCTAGTTCTTGGACCTCATTAAGGGTCTGTGTGCAGCTCTTTCCATGTGTCAAAGTAATTTAATGCTCCCCGCAACCCTGTAAGGTCGTCCTGTTTCTTATTTCCAGTTCACAGATGATGCATGCTCACAACATTGGGTCATTTTCCCAGGGTCAGATGGCTGCCAGGTGGAGCATGGTTTCCACGCACAATATGGATACAGAGCGCGAGGCACCAGCCTCAGCCCCTCACCAGCCACCCTCACCCCTGCTGTCCCGCCTCAGACCACTTGCCCTTGAAACAGTGCTTTCCACGGAAATTCGGTAACCCCCCACACGAGGTCTACTCTTCCTCGTCCGTTTTGCCTTTTCTTTTTCCATGTGATTGTAAGTGCAGATTTTCGCTCCTCAGGATGTCAGAGCGCGAGTGTTCAAACACTAAAAATATGACATACTAACTTAAATCCTCAAGCAACCTGAAATAGCTCTTTCCTCGAGTTTTTATTCCCGGCTCTTCAAGTACACCCCACATCGTTACATGATCACAGAGAAGAGACTTTTGTTAGATACATGCCTGCTTGATTTAGAAAATCCCGTCTCCTCTGTTGACAAGGTAAGGTTAAGAAAGGACATTTGTTACTTACAAGCTGAGGAGCGAAGGTGGGTTACCAGAACTTTCTAGTAATTCCAGTTCTCTAACCCTAACCTCAAGGGAGGGACAGCATATTGCCTGTGGCATCTCCTTTGCACATGGTGGCTGCCTGGTGGTCTTGGGTATCATTCCAAGCCCTCCTGTGGATGCTGGGTATTGAATCTGACCTCTGCAGACCCCTTGTGCTTTTATGGTTCTTAGTCTGGTGATTCCTACCTTGCATACAGACCATCACCCCCACCGTTCGTCACCTCCGGCCAGGCCTTTCTCTTGCACACTCATTGTTATAAATCACCAGTTAGGGCATTAGCCCCCCACCAGCCCCCTTTAGCTCTCTCACGTTGGGCAAGCTACTTTACCTTTATGCGCTTCAGTGTCCTCACCTGTGCAATGCAGATTATTATACTCCTGCCCCAAATGGTTGTTATAAAGACTAGGTGAGATGCTAATTGGAAAACACTTACATTGCCTCACCAGTACCGAGTAAAGCACCATCAAAGTATATGTTAAAATAAAATAATCCAGTGACTCCATACTCAACACCTTGCAGCTTCCCCTAAGTTCCATCATAAGGGGCAAGTCTTAATTGTTCTAGTCAAAAGACCTTCCTGGGGGGCGCCTGGGTGGCTCAGTCGTTAAGCGTCTGCCTTCGGCTCAGGTCATGATCCTGGAGTCCCAGGATCGAGTCCCGCATTGGGCTCCCTGCTCGGCGGGAGGCCTGCTTCTCCCTCTCCCACTCCCCCTGCTTGTGTTCCTGCTCTCGCTGTCTCTCTCTGTCAAATAAATAAAATCTTAAAAAAAAAAAAAAAAAAAAAGACCTTCCTGGAGTACTTTAAGAGTCAGCCTCCAGTCAAGGAAGTGGAAAACACACTTGGAATTTCAAACAGAATTTGGTAAAGAGAATTGGTTACCCAGTGTAGCTGGACGCGTGAAAAGGCCACGCTCTAGAAACCCAGGTAGATAACTGCAGGCAGCGACTCAGGGCATGCGCCCTGGCACCGTACGGAACCCAGACTCATGCAGGAGGCCCCCCTGGGGACCGGCGGCCACCTGAAGAGTAGGGACATCGGAGGAGGACATCACCGACATTGCTGGGATAGTGGCCTGGACCACAGCAGCGACCAGAGACGTTACCCGCAGAAGGGAGAAAGAAAAAATGAGAGAGAAGTGGACCAAAGGCTTCCCTCTTCCCACCCCCTCATCTCCTGCCAGAGGAGCCTGAGGAACGTAGTGTGCCGACTCCTGGCCGCAGCATCGCAAGGCAGAGTCGAAGCAAGATGGAAATGACAACCACAGGACACGGGGCAAAAAACAAGAAAGCTGCAAGACCACTTCAAAAAAAGGATTACAGGGCGCCTGGGTGGCTCAGTCGGTTAAGCGACTGCCTTCAGCTCAGGTCATGATCCTGGGGTCCCGGGATCGAGTCCCGCATCGGGCTCCCTGCTCGGCGGGGACCCTGCTTCTCCCTCTGACCCTCCTCCCTCTCATGCTCTCTGTCTCTCATTCTCTCTCTCTCTCAAATAAATAAATAAAATCTTTAAAATAAATAAATAAATAAAATAAAAAAATAAAAAAAGACTGCAGATATATTGAGAGATTGTACCTACATCTAACGAGGTCAAGATACCTCCTTACTTGTTATTAAAAGAGTCAATCTAGGGCGCCTGGGTGGCTCAGTCGGTTAAGCGACTGCCTTCGGCTCAGGTCATGATCCTGGAGTCCCGGGATCGAGTCCCGCATCGGGCTCCCTGCTCGGCAGGGAGTCTGCTTCTCTCTCTGACCCTCCCCCCTCTCATGCTCTCTCTCTCATTTTCTCTCTCAAATAAATAAATAAAATCTTTAAAAAAAAAAAAAAAGGATTACAAAGATCCAAGCTTGACGAAGGTAGAGTGTGCCTGCAGGAATGGGAATTGATTTAGACTCTAGACAGTAAAAGGAGTCACAGAGCCAATTTACTACCATGTCAATATAATAATAGTACGTAAAATAGCTGTAATTTGTTTTAATCATCTGTGTAATTGGAGACTCCAGTATTTACCAGGTCTGTCTGACCGTCGATCCCCCTTTCTGTGGTACTGCGCTGGAGTGGATGCTGGTTATAAATACTCCTAGAAATGTCTCCAGTAATTGCTGGCACATGGGATAGATTAAATGTTCTTCAGCTCAAGAATTCCACAACGAGGTTAGTAAGCCCGGGGAATCTGGGTGAGACCCCCTCTGACAGAGCAGCAGATACATTTTGGAGGCAGGCTATCCGTCACCCATGCCCTCGCAAAACGTTTTTATTTTATTTCCTATAATACCCCCCTACACCCCATCTCATCAACTGAATATAACTCAGTCTGGAGCAAACACACGTGAGGGACTGCGGGTATGGTGTCACTTTCTTTCTTTCTTAATGATGAAGAAAAGGATTTAGTCAACTTTTCCCCAGTGTCAGGAAACTAGGTCACCAAGCAAATGAAGATATATGTTTGGGGGAGAAGAAGAACTCTCCTCAGAATCCTGAAGCAAAACCCTGCCTTGTTACCCAGCCTCCCAAGAGATGCTCTCGTTTGGAGTATTAGGACCATTGAGATGACAGGTGAATCGAAGAGTGGGGTATTAGGACCATTGAGATGACAGGCGAATCGAAGAGTGGGGTCACATCCCTTCCCAGTGGTGACTGAGGCACCTGTGGAGAAAATTGGAGCTTGATAGAAGCTTCATAATATACCTGTTGGATTAGCTTCCCCTCGCCAACCCCAGCAGAAAAAGAAAAAAAAAAAAGGATTTACATCACATAGTCTGCACCTGGATTTTACTAGATGCCTTTTTTTTTTCTCTCTTTTGACAAATCGTAGCATTGCTCCTGAAGTGATTAGCTTTTCAAATGATCCTTCATATATTTTGGCATGGGCAGGAAATTAAAGTGAATTTTTCAAATACCTAACATTTTATGAGGAATAATTTAGGATTCAGCATTAATTCAGAGAACACTCACATTTTTTTCCTCCATCTTTTATTCATTTCTTCATAAATTCAAATATTCATTGAGCCAAACGCACCAGACACGGTGTTAGGGGCAGACGTTGATTCCTCCCCTCCTGGAGACCAGAGGCGAAAGGGGGAATGTGCTCTCTCTCTCTCTCTCAAATAAATAAGTAAATAAAATCTTTAAAAAAAATAGAAAGTTCTTTGGAGATACCCCTCTCCTTCTCGATCTTCCCTGAGGCAGTGAAGAAATTTCTTTGCTTGTAGTTCAGCTGAAACACAGACAGGCTCATTCAAGGAATTAAGAGAACAAGAAATTCCTAAAATGCAACACCATAGCAATAATGGGTGGGTGTTCAGATTACAGTGAAACAGGACCTCAGTTTCTTGCTCACACCTGCAGCCTACCTGGACATAGCCTAAGCACAGCTTCCCTTGCCTGAAGCTATGTCAGATGAATAACACGTCTGGGGACTTCTCCAGCCTCTGCAGGCCTGCTGCCCAGCTCAACCCCTTTGAGGTGCCCCCTTTGGCTCACGCACTGCATTCCCATTTGCCTTCTGAGCTGTCTTGTCTAGCTCTGTTATCCCACATGGAGTATGTGACTCCCGGGACGTGTGATCCGTGGTGAATGAACTTCTGCCAGGCTCCCGCCATCCCTCCTCCACACACCGGTCCTCTGGCGCTGGGATCTGCCAGAGTCCCAGGTTTAATTTCTTCTCTGATATACCTCAAATATACACAAAGAGTAACAAATACACTTTCTCCCAAGGCAAGATGAGAGTTGATCCTTTGTTTCATCCTCTGTGATCTGTGGAATTATCCTCCACAGTCACCAGCTCTGTCTCCCTGTAATTTAGATGACTTGCTTGTCTTTAAGGGAAGAATTCCACCTGGGAAGTCTGTAGCTGGAAACTCCTGCTGAGCGCTCCCTGATGGCAGAGAATAGTAACCAGAAACTTGAACGTGCCCCCTTGCACGTGCCCTAAACGCACCTACCCAGCCAGCCCTTTGCTCTTAGCTCATCGCGGTCCTGGGGGTTGGGGGGATTAGGTAAGTGTAATGAGGGAATTAGGAGGCAGTAATAAAATCTGAAGTCAGAATAATATTAACCTAAAATGTAATTATTTAATAGCCCGCTTTCAAGGATATAGTAATAAAGATGAAATATATAATGATGTAAAGGGGCTCATTATTTTTCTGGCCAGCCGTATTAAAAATTAGCATGTGGAAGGTCACCGAAGAACTTCAGAAGGGCCAGACTTGTTTTCTCAACAAAGGCTTGGGCCGAAATGGAAATGTCATCCTGACAGCCACTCGGAGGGCTCACGTGCTAACGTTTCGCTGTCTTCTCCTCCGTGGTTCCTCATCACGGTGGAAGAATACTTCTGTGTATTTAAGCACTTCGTCTGAGAAGAGTTGTTTTATCTTTAATTTATACACGAGTGCCTCTGGGTTGGTGCCCTAATAATGCTCACTGCGTGACTGTTCCTTTGTCATCCCTGAACTGTGACAGGAGAGAAGGCGGGGTGCCAAGGCCAAGGCCAAGCCAATGTGTGCCTTTTCCCTGCCCAGCCTCCCGAAGCCTTTCCGGTCTTACCAGCAACACTCTCCCTAAAAGAGTTCGGGGAACCTCAGGGTCCTTTTGGCATCGTGTCATGCAGCCCCCCTCTTGTTTTTCATTGTTTTGCATCAAAATTATATGCACCAAGTTTAACAAATAGTTGTATACAGTTCGTTAGGGAAAAAGAGCAGGTCCTAGTACACCTCCCTTTACACTTCATCGTCCCCAGATGCCACCACCTTCCGCTCTTCTAGCTGATTCCTTTGGCACTTGATTCCGTATCACTGCATAGCATGCTAATAGCTCTATTTCTAGATCTCTCTGGTGTAGGCATTAGCTTCCCACAGTGGAAGATGGAGATTTCGCTGTGTTTTCCCCACTCCGCCCCCACCGCATTTATGCACCCTTCCCACCCCATTCCCCCTGCAACTCCAGTATGTTACATCATGCTTGTGCTTTGATCTATATTGAGTGTTTTAGTACGACCGTGTGAATACTATGTTTGCTTTTCCTCTCTGTACGACTGTTTTCCTTGTAATAAATATTACCTCATTCTTTTGTTTGCATAGCTTTCCATGTATTTGTCCTTAATGAAAGCCCAGACTCTGTACCAGTCATCTTAATTGCTTTTCCAACTGTTGAGATGCATCAGGTTCTGTTCATTTCCTTGTCTTACAGGAGTTTCCCCAAAAAGCCTTCGTACCTTCTCCAGTCTGGACTGCTTGCCCTGAGGCACACATGTTATATTGGAGTCTTTTCCCCATTCTGCAGATCCTAACCACCTCTTGTCTGTATCGGGTCCCCTGTTTCTCATAACCTATATTTTCCTTTTTGTTTTTCCTTTGGCTTACCACCTCATTTGCGGGGAACACATCCTCCAGTATCTTTCTAAGAAAAGGATTTATGAGAGGCGGAATATTCAAGGCCTCGCATGGATAAGCAAGTCTTTATTCTAACCCTGACACTTGATTGATAGGTTAGCAGACCTAGAACTCTATATTGTACATTTCTCTTTTCAAAACTGTACAGGCTTTTTGCTCCATTATCTTCAAGTTTCTGGTTACTATTGAGAAATGCAGTGCCCTTCTGATTCCTGAGCTTCTGTATCTGTCCTGTAGTTTTTCTCTAGGAGCTTATAATCTCTTCGGTTTCCCCCTTTTGTCTCAATATTTCACGATCATATGCCTCGGGGTAGGTCTGTTTTCAGCCATCGTGTTGAACACTCAGGGATTTTCAATCTGAAAACTCATGCTTTTGAGTTTGGGGAAATTTTCTTAACTTTCTAAATGTCCTCCCCCCGCCCTCTATCTTCTTCTTTTTGAAGCTCGTTTTATGCATATAGGATCTCCTGGATTTATCCTCCAGTTTTCTTTACTTTTCTTTCTTCGTTTCTACCTGTTTGTCTGTCCGAGAGAGTTCCTTCACTTTTCTCCTAATGGTTCCACTGAGTTTCTCATTTCTGTTACCGTGTTCTCTGAGAATTCTTCTTTATTCACCGAGGTTCCCTTTTGTAACAATCTTTCCTTATTTCACACTTGTAATTTCTTTTCTCCATGAGGCCATCAGAATTGTGGGGGTATGGGGGGGGTTTGCCCTGATTTTGTCTTTTCTCCCTTTTTGGTCTCATTTCATACGGGATGCCCTTTTTCTGTTTGTTCTGGTCTGCATCCTTCATGTTGGAGGTCTTCCTCCAGTTTCCAGAAATCCTGGCTTGTGCCTCAACCACAGATTTGAATGGGAGAGAATAGAGTTGCCTGGAAGCTTAAACACCTGAACGGGGCGTGTTGAGCAAGCTTTATCATCTGGTTGGACTCTCTGAGAGCGGTACCGACATCAACATTTGTCAGTTTTTGCTGTGGAGCTGGTCAGATTTCCCCGTGCAAGATCCTTCCAGATTCTTGCTGGGGAAGGGGGGTGCCTGGCTGTCAGCCTGCTGGGACCTGGGGCAGGAAAGAGGACTGGGTGTCTCAGCATCTAATAGGTACACATTCACGTCATTGCTCTCTTCTCTACACCCCCCCCCCCCCGCCACTGTATCCCTGGGTCTAGATGCCTCTGCTCTGGATCCTCATCAGAGGGGGGGAAAGAAGCCTTCCTGTGTTCTGCCGGAATGGGGCAGAGCGTCTGCCTGGCTCCGTGTCTCTTTGCGTCCCCAGTGCTGGCTTCACGATCAGTGCCTTGGGTTTTTCTCTCTCCATTACCACCTGTTCATGTGCTTCCAGGCCCCAGAATGCTGTAGATGTTAGAGGTTAGCCTCCCCGCACCTTCTACGCATTTTAAAGGGCTAGATCTTCTTTTAACCCTTTGTTAGTTTTAGAGGGGTTGCAGGTGACTGGTCAGAAGGGATTTGTGCCAGTGGGCTCTGCTTCTTTGTCTAGAGTGGCCCCCAGACTCGCTAGGGGAGAATCCTGAGGGAGTGACTTCAGAGCAGAACTGGAACTAGGACCCCCGCTTCCTGGCTCCTTGCTCAGCGCAGCCCTTTTCAAAATAGGCAAAATCATCAGTCACGACTTCCTCCATCATGAGTGTGTGTCTGGCTGGGTGCGAATGAGTTCAGGAAGCTATTTTGCGAAGAGTTCTTTGTATTTTTGCATTGACTGTTAGGTCATCAGGAGACTGTACACTGGGACACATCGGGGGTCTTCCCAAGGCCTTCATGCTCCGCAGGCAAGCTCCTCGCCAGGGAAGGGCGAGTGGAAAATGCTGACAAGACAGCAGGGGCCGGACTTAGTTATGTTGCGTTTTTAACTTCTGGGCCTCTTCAGCCTTCCCACAAACACGTGGGAACAAATGGGGTTGCAGTCAAATGCCCAGATTGCATGGGTGTTTGTCCCGTCTGCTGTGGTGGATGCCGAGTCCCCTGTCAGGGACCCTCCAAATATACCTCTAGGTCCCTAGACGTGTCTCCTGCGTGCTCACCAGCAACTTCTGTCCCACTGAGAGCTGTCACTGCCCCACCCTGCCTCAGTGGTAACTCTGTCTGTCCCAGAGCTCTGTGGCACCTGGGGAACAGCTCCCTTGTTAGAGGGCCCAGAGCAATAGTACTCGGGCTTGATGTACTTATAGACTTTTAGTAAAACAGCTCTTCCTAGTTTACTTAAATTTCTCTTGCCTGCCCTCCCCTGCCTTTCCCCTCTCTCCCTTGTTCTCCCTCCCTCCCTCTCTCTGTCTCTCTGTTTCCCTGTCTCTCTCCC